AATACATAAACAAACGGGTGTGCCTGCATTCCAGTAAAGTTTTATTATAAAAATAGATGGCGGGTCAAGTGTGGCCCATGGATTATAGTTTGCCAATCTCTGATTTAGAGTCACAAAGACAGTTGACAGAAATTGGACATCAATATCACCATACGTGGCGACAGAGAGGATATTCCCTCTGAAAATAATAAAGGGGAAAAAAGTGGCACATAGAGTTTCTAAGCTGAAGCTAATATATAAGTGGTATCCTTCGTATATTTCTTAGATTTTACTTAATGCCATCTAGATAGGCAATAGTTAAATGATTTACTAAAGGTCAAAGTAATTTGTTTATATGAAAGGCCATCACCACAACAAAAATTCAACAGGCATGGTATTTGCACATAATGCCACTCACTAAAAAATATTTGGAGAGAGGAGGACCTTGGGAAGAATCTCTCAATGATTACTACAACCATAATATTTCTGAAAAAGAAAAATTTTTATTTATTATAAGGACTAACCAATTCTGTAATATAAGCTAAACTATTTAAAATAGTCCCATCAGCCTTCTGAGCAACATAAAAAAGCCAAGAGTACATATACATATGTACACACATACATACACATATATGTATATGTATAAATATACATACATATGTACATACATACATATGTATGTGTATATATGCATGTACATATAAATGTACATGCATACATATGTACATACATACATATGTATATGTGTGCATAATACCTCTATGCACACACACACATATTCTTTGTAAGAAAGCAACCAATTACAATGATGCTGCTAATGATGATGATAGTGATGAAGGTCCTAACTATGTAGTTATCAGTGAGAGTACTTACCTACCACATTTTGGGAATCATGCTAGATCATTTTACAAAATTATTTCTAATCATTGGTATTTCCATGAAGTAGGCATTATTATCCCAACTTACACAGATGAGGAAATGTCAACTCTAGGTTACAAATAATAATAAGTTAGTCAGGCATGGTGGCATGCACTTGTGGTCCCAGCTGCTCAGGAGACTGAAATAGAAGGATCCTTGAGTCTGGGAGGTTAAGGTTGCAGTAAGTCATGATTGTGCTACTAAGTTCCAGTCTGAGTGTCAGAGGAAGACTGTCTCAAAAGAAAAAAAAATACTAAACTTAAAAAGATGCAGAAAAATGTAAGATGTAAGTAAAAGAAAACTGTCAATAGAAATAGACCTAGGAATGATGGAGCTTAGGGAATTAGTAGACAAAAAGTTTTGAAAAGCTATCATAAATATGTTCACAATTTTTTTATTGTGAAGATAATGAGGAGACAAAGGGAGGATTAAAAAAACAAAATAAAACATCTAGAGATGAAAAACATAATATTTGAAATTTAAAAACCGCATCTGCTTGACAACAGATTGTATACTGCAGAGAAAAGATAAATACGAAACACTGCTGAAAGAAATTACATATGACATAAATAGAAAAATATTCCATGCTCATAGATGGAAAGAATCAATATCATTAAAATGGTGATACTTCCCAAAGCAACCTACTGATTCAATGCTATCCCAATCAAACTACCAATGTCCTTTTTCATAGAATCGGAAAAACTATGCTAAAATTCATATGGAACAAAAATAAGCCCAAGTAGCCAAGACAATTCTAAGCAAAAAGAACAAAGTGGGAGGCATCACATTACCTAACTTCAAACTATGCTAATAAAGCTACAGTAACCAAAACAGTAGGGTACTGGTATAAAAACATATATACCAATGGAACAGAATAAAGAACCTAGAAACAAAGCACACACCTACAGTCATCTGATCTTCAATAAAGTTGACAAAAATAAGCAAAAAGGAAAGGACTCTGTATTCAATAAATGGTGCTGGAATAGCTGGCTAGCCATATGCAGAATAAAGCTGGACCTCTACTTTTCACCATATACAAAAATTAACTCAAGATGGACTACACAATTAAACATAAGACCTCAAACTATAGAAATCCTAGAAGAAAACCTAAGAAACACCATTCTGGACGTCAGCCTTGGGAAAGAATTTATGACTAAGTCTGAAAAAGCAATTGCAATAAAAACAAAAATTGACAAAAGGGACCTAACTAAACTAAAGGGCTTCTTCACAGAAATAAAAACTATTAACAGAGTAAACATATAAGCTACAAAACAGGGGGAAATATTTGCAAACTATAAATCCAACAAAAAATGAATACCCATAATCTATAAGGAACTTAAACAACTCAACAAGCAAAAGCCAAATAACCCCATTAAAAAGTGGGCAAAGCACATGAAAAGACACTTCTCAAAAAAAGACATATAAGCAGCCAACAAACCTGAAAAATTGCTCAACGTTAATCATCATCAGAGCAATGCAAATCGAAACAACAATGAGATACTGTCTCTTATCAGTCAGAATGGCTTTTGTTAAAAAGTCAAAAAACAATAGATGCTGGTGAGGCTGCAGAAAAAAAGGAATGCTTATACACTGTTGGTGGGAATGTAAATCAGTTCAGTCAGTGTGGAAATCAGTTTGAAGATTTCTCATAGAACTTAAAACAACTACCATTTGACTCAGCAATTCCATTACTGGGTATATAGCCAAAAGAAAATAAATCACTCTACAAAAAAAAAAACCGCATGCACTCATGTATCAGTCAGGGTTCTCTAGAGGGACAGAACTAAACAGGTATGTATAGAGAGAGGCGTTTATTAAGTATTAACTTACTTGATCACAAGATCCTACAATAGGCTGTCTGCAAGCTTGAGGAGCAAGGAGAGCCAGTCAGTCTCAAAACTGAAGAACTTGAAATACGATGTTCGAGGGCAGGAAGCATCCAGCACAGGAGAAAGATGGAGGCTGGGAGGCTAGCCCAGTCTCCCTTCTTCACTTTATTTTTGCCTGCTTTATATTCACTGGCAGCTGATTAGATGGTGTCCACCCAATTAAGGATGGGTCTGCCTTCCCCAGCCCACTGACTCAAATGTTAATCTCCTTTGGCAACACCCTCACAGACATACCCAGGATCAATACTGCATCCTTCAATCCAACCAAATTGACACGCAGTATTAACTATCATAACTCATGTTCATCGGAGTACCACTCACAATAGCAAAGACATGGAATCAACTTAGATGGCCATCAATGGCAGATTGGATAAAGAAAAAATGCAGTACTTATAACAAAATCATGCCCTTTACAGCAACATGAATGCAACTAGGGGTTCTCGCAACTAGTCAGGGTTCTCCTACCAAAAAGGACATTGGTAGTTTGATTGGGATAGCATTGAATCAGTACGTTGCTTTGGGAAGTATGGCCATTTTAATGATACTGATTCTTTCCATCCATTATCCTAAATGACTTAATGGAGGAACAGAAAAACAAATACTGCATATTCTCACTTATAAGTGGGGGCTAAACATTGGGTAAACATGCACATAAAGATAGAAACAATAGACACAGGGACTACTGGAAGCAGGAGGGAAGGAGGAGTGCAGGGACTGCAAAACTAAGAAAGTTCTTCTGGCTGGTGGAAAATTATAGAATTAGCAGATAGAAATTTAAATGTGCACAAGGAATAAAGAGTGTTGAAAGTGGTAAATATGTGAGTAAATATAAAGTATATTACTCATTTTAAAATTTACTTAAGTGATAACTGTTTAAAGAAAAATCTATAAATTATGTTTATAACTTGTGTAGAAGTAAAACACTTGATAATAATAGCAAAGGACAGGAGGTAAGAATGAAAATATACTGTTCTTATACTATGAAATGCTAAAATATAGTTTGAAAAGTTAATATTACATTACAATAAGTTAAACATGTATATTGTAACCCTATAGAAACTACTAAAAATAAAACAAGTAAATGTATCTAATATACCAACAGTTACTATAAAATAAAGTACTAGAATGTACTGAATCCAAGAGAAAGCAGGATAATGTGGGGGAAAGGAGATAATGTTAGACAAATCTAAAGTTAATGGCAAGATCAAAACTTTATCCCCACTATTTTGATCATGCAATTAAATGTAAATGGTCTAAACACCCCAATTTAAAAAGCAGATTGTCAGGCTATAGCAAAGCAGGACCAACCAACTACATGCTTCTACAGGGAAAAAAAAAAAATGAGCACACACATTTTAAAAATAAGCAAATAATAAGGTCTAATCATATTAAACAGTCACCTCCAGAAACCCTAAATCCAATGAAAGAACTTCATCCTTAATATTCTGTTCCTCTAAAACCACCCATGGTACCAAAATCTGTATTAGTCAGATTTCTCTAGAGAGGGTTACCTAGTTCTCTAGCTCTCTAGTCAGGGTTCTCATAATTAGCCAATGTAAAGTGAATTTGAACATTCACTTTACAAACAAAGATGTACAACTGGCCAGTAAGTCATGAAAATATACTCAACATCATTAGTCACCAGGAAAATGTCAATTAAAACAATGAAATAGCAGTACACACTTATTTTAAAAGACTGACGATACGAATTGATAGAACTAAAATTCTGATACATTGCTAAGTAGAATGTAAAATAGTATAACCACTGTAGAAAACAGTTTCTTAATAATGTTGAAAATATACAAACCATATTACCTAGCAATTTCATTCTAAATATTTCCCCAAGAAAAATGAAAATCTATTCCCATAAAAATACCTTAGCACTAATGTTTGAGGCTGCTTTATTAACAATGGCCTAAAATTAGAAACAACCCAAATTATCATCAGCAGGTAAATAAATTAGCAAACTATGGTATATTCCTACAATGGAATATCACTCCATAAATAAAAAATAAAAATGTATACACTACTGATACCTAAAAAAATATGGAAGAATCTTAAAACACACTTAATGAAAAAGCTATACACTAAAGTTTACATACTGTATTATTTCAGAAAGGCAGCATAATTTATAGCAACAGCTGATTTGCAGTTGCCTAGGGTTGGGTAGGGCGTGAAGATCAAAGCAAAGGAGCATGAGGAAACTTACTGAAGTGATGAAGCTGTTCTATATCTTGATTAGAGTGGTGGTTATAAGGGTACAGTCGATCCCTTTTATTCACAGTTTTCTCTTCTGTAGTTTCAGCTATCTACACCAACTGCTTTCTGAAAACTGTTAAGAATGTATAAGATATTTTGAGAGAGATAAACCATATGATATAGTACATTGTTATAATTGTTCTTTTTTAAGTTATTAGTGTTAACCTCTCACTGTGGCTAATTTATAAATTAAACTTTATCATAGTAAGTATGTATGGGGAAACAAACATAGTATTTATATGGTTTGGTTATATATGCAGTTTCAGGCATACACTGGGGGTCTTGGAACATATTTCCTGTGGGTGAGGGGGGAGTACTGCATACTTTTGTTAAAACTCATCTACTGCACACTTAAATATCTTGGCTGTATGCAAATTATAGTAATAAAGTTGATTTTAAGAGGAAAAAAAGAGATACCATTATTATAGAAATCTATCTGCTTGCTAAGTATACACAGCCTTGGAAAAGTTTTGTTTTACTGTAAGTACCCTCTCATGTAGTATTATGTAAAATAGCCCCAATAATAACCCCTAATTCTTATATTCTCCCCCTACCACTTGTTAGTTCTCATCATGGTTACACTTTGTACTTTTTGATGAATGCAAAACAGATGGAAGTAATTGCCAAATTCATAAAAAGCTGATATACGTCCTAACCACCACCCACATCAGAGCTTTTTTTTTTTTTTTTTTTTTTTTTTTTTTTGAGACACAGTCTTGCTCTGTCACCAGGCTGGAGTGGAGTGCAATGGTGTGATCTCGGTTCACTGCAACCTTCACCTCCCGGGTACAAGAGATGCTCCTGCCACAGTCTCCCAAGCAGCTGGGATTACAGGCATGCACCACCCCACCCAGCTAATTTTGTATTTTTAGTAGAGACAGGGTTTCACCATGTTGGTTAGGCTGGTCTTGAACTCCCGACCTCAGGTGATCCACCCACTTCAGCCTCCCAAAGTACTGGGATTACAGGCATGGGCCACCACACCCAGCATAGAGTTGTTAACTGTAGGGATCTCATAATAATAGTAGGATCCAAGAAAGTAATGTAATGTATGATGGGACCCAATATTAGACAATAGAAATAGATTGGGGACCGATATCAAGATAACTTGTCAGAAAATTAAAAAATAACTAACGTGCTGTCCAAAATAATCAAGTTTTTTTTCAAATGCTAATAAGAAATTTAATATATAAAGTATATTTTAAAGCCAGACTTTCAGGAATGATCAGTCCAAAGAAAATGCATATATCTAAAGTAATCAAAAAGATTCCCTATAGGTTATATTAAATTATGGATTTACAAGTTATTAATAAAAAATTTGAATATTTAACTAAGAGATTTTGAGAAGGAAATAAAGTCAGGTGACACTAAGAAAAATAAGGCTTGAGTCAACCTAAATTTGTGTTCTTCATAAAAGCAAAATGAGGAATAGAAGAGAGAAAATATGTAGATGAAAAATTAAAAACAAAAAAGAGACATTCCAAGCTGGGCATGGTGGCTCACACCTGTAATTCCAACCGTTTGGAAGGCCAAGGCAGGAGTCACTTGAGGCTAGTTCAAGACCAACCTGGACAACACAGTAGGACCCTATCTCCACAAAAATTTTAAAAATAAAAAATTAGCTAGACATGATGGCACACAAGGGTAGTTCCACACAATTGGGACACTGAGGCAGGGGGATCACTTGAGCCCAGGGGGTCCAGGCTGCAGTCAGCCATGATGATGTCACTATACTACAGCCTGGGTGACAGAGTGAGACCCTGTCTCAAAAAAAAAAAGAGAGAGAGAGACATTTTTGTCCTGATTTTGAACTTGGTCTAAATGATTTGGACAATCCAGCTCTCTTATCTCATGTCTCTTTTATATCACTGCAGGAAGTATTCATACAAAAAACAATACTAGTAAGTCATCCTTCCAAGTATACCGTGAGTCTAGACTTCAATTTCCCTATGATCTCTGATTCCCTGCTGCTGACAATGGCCATATCCCAAAGTCCTGTTTCATCCACAACAGGAGGGCTTAAGTTGCATTGCTTTGTTTTCAGAAACTGCAGTGCCTTTGTAGAAGCAACTAACACAGAAAAATTAAGTAGAAGTTCAAGGTTATATAAAAAATAGGTGGGTACTCTGGAAAAAAAAATACTGATCCATTAATAACTGAGAACAAAACACTGCAGGTAAAAGAGAAATCTTTGTTAAACACCCCAGGTCAAAAAACTAGCTTCCTTAAAAATAACAGAAAACTACGTTTGTGTTTGCTCCTATGTGATCTTTCTTGTACCTAGATCTTATTTATTTTGCACTATAGATCTTTTTGGAATTCACTTATTTGACACAATTATTAAGCCATTTGCTAAACATCTCAATTTCAGGCACTGTACTAAACATAGGCAAGAAAGAAATGAATATGAAATTGTGGTTTCTGTGGCTTTGTGGCTTTTGCCACTGAGAAGCTAGAAATAACCATTGGCAGCCCTGCTTACCTAGTGCAAATTCCACATGCTAGCATTATCGATATGACTTAGGAAAACTGAAATCAGTCTTTTCAGTTTATAAGATTCGCGAGCTGCCAGAATATCCTGTTACACCTTAGGCTGGTGACTGTGAAAGAACACAAAACCCATTGCACATAGGTAGGAATTAGGAATAATTAAGGTATCTTTTCAGACCCTAGCAGGAGACATTGATATGACCTTAAGGATAAATACCCACCAACTCCTGCTGAGACACAAAAAAGCACAATATGTTTCACAATATGTTTTAGGCAAGGCATCAGCACTCAGCTGTTGTTACAGGCACATACTCCTAACTTAGATATTCAATCTTGTCTGCTTATTAAGCTAAGTTGCAGTTCATTCACAAGGACCCAAATATAGAAGTACGGGGTCCTTCTCAGGCCACATTTAGTTTGCTTTAATAATGGATTCAAAGATTTTCTGATTGACAATTGGTTGAAAAAGTTAAATTATTATCTAAAGACCTGAATCAATAGAAAGGAGTGTCTGGGTTAAGACCATGGGTTGTGGGCTGGGTGCGGTGGCTCATGCCTGTTATCCCAGCACTTTGGGAGGTTGAGGTGGGCAGATCACCTGAGGTCAAGAGTTCGAGATCAGCCTGGCCAACATGGTGAAACCCCATCTCTACTAAAAATACAGAAATTAGCTAGGCATGGTGGCAGACACCTGTAATCCCAGTTATTCGGGAGGGTGAGGCAGGAGAATTGCTTGAACCTGGGAAGCGGAAATTGCAGTGAGCCAAGATCGTGCCATTGTACTCCAACCTGGGTGACAAGAGTGCAACTCTGTCTCAAAACAAAGAAAAAAATAGATAAGGGGTTGTAGAGACCAAAGTCCTTATTATATAGATAAAGTCTCACAGGTGGCTGCCCTTAGAAGCAATAGATACCAAAAGTTTCCTATTCAGACCTTTAAAAAGTGTTAGACTCTCAGCTAATCTCTTCAGGATCAGAAAAAGACCTGAGAAGAGGATTCTCTACAGAGTATAAACATCCCCCACAAGAGTGTTTTGTGAGACCATTTCAAAATATGTCAAAGAAATATATTTTGGGGTAAAATACTTAGATTTATTTCAGGGCCTGCTATCTGTCATGTGATGCTATACTAGAGTCAGACTGGAATTTTTTATCTTCTTACTACAAAGAGTCTGTTTTGTCAGTCTAAAGATCTCTGTTTTAATGTTAGTGCTGGTTGGTTGTGTCTGAATGCCAAACGGAGGAGAGTATAATGAGGCATGTCCAGCCCCCTTCCCGTCATTGTCTGAACTACTTTTTCAGATTTCTTGGGAATCCCGTTGGCCAAGAGAGGAGTCCATTCAGTCTATTGGAGGGCTTAGAAATTGATTTTTGGTTTGCAGAAGAATGGAGAGAAGCTGAGTTCCCAGTTAAAGGAGGGGATGGAAGGCATTGGGGAGTGTGTGATAGGAAACACAAAGATAGGCTTCTGGATAAGTTACTACATGTAGCAAGTTAAGGATAACTACTACTTATGTTGCAGAAAATCAAGAGGGCCAGGGAGACCTCGGGGTATAGCAGGAGAATCTTTTATTGAGTGTACCCCAGCCCAGCAGACTCAATGTCCAAAAAACTGGGCCCGGAACAAAAACAAGGTTTTGCTTATATATGTACTCCTAAGCGGCCCAAATGCAAACTTACAGAGGCAGGACAAAGGCCGTTAATCAAACTAAGACAGGCTTATAACTCAGGTTTAGTATACTCCTTACTATGCAGCCCAGATGGTCGTTATCTGGTTAGTTCAAAGGAGTTTCACAAAGACTCATCTTGCTACCCCTACCATGGCGCCTACCTGGCTACAAGCTAGACCTGCTCAGGCTGTACTGCTTAGATGAAGAAGCAGGAACCTGCAGTCATTAACTACAGGAAAAACAGAAACTCATACAACTTACAGAGCAAGAAGCAAGGTATAGTTTACATAGCAGAGGGGATGGGATTCTAGGGGAAAGTTTACTCACACTAAAGGAGAGATAGGAAAACTTGTCTCTTCACATCCTTTAGTTGAGGGAGTGTTGGGAGAGTCTTTAGAGGACATTCCTCTGAGCTGTGGCCCTTAGATAACGTTATCGAAACTTTGCCTGTTACTGCCTTTGAAATGAGTCAGCTAACATAGGCAGCTTGTTTTTTTTTTTTCTTCTTTGATTTCTATTTTCTTTCTTTCTTTAATTTTTTTCCCCTTTTTTCCCTCCTCACTTATTAAATATTTATGACACTGTTAGAAATGCAAAGTTCTTGTTCCTCGGTGCCGTGAAGAAATAGCACTTGAACGTAAATTTAATTCTCTCAGCAAGGCAATTTTTACTTCTATAGAAGGGTGTGACTCACGAATGGAGAAATGGTGAGTGAAAGCACACCTGGACAGGGGAGGGGAAGGTGTTCTTTTTTTTTTTCTTAAACGAAATTGTAAATTTTATTGTTTTAACGTGTATGCATGTTTAGTGACGTTTACATTTTGAAATAAAATTTATGATTCATTATTTCATTTCCTGGAGATAGTTTCTTTGAAGAGTATGTATTGCAGAGGCTCTGGGAGGGGAAGGGAAC